AACAGAACCAGCAAGCTCAACAGAACCATCATCAAAACAGAGAATCCCAACAGACCTACAGGCCATTATGGCAAACCCAACACAACCAACATCCAACCAGAGAGGTGAAGCGAAACTAGTTTAAGCAAGGATGCTGTTGCAAGCCCATAAGAACCAATGTCAAACCACAGAAGTCAAGCAGAACCCATGGCCAATGTAGCAAGCCCTACAGAATCAATCTCAAACCAGAGAATCCAAACCAACCTGGCAAGGCAGTACCAAGGCAGCCAGCCAAATCTGGCAAGGCATTGACACAGACACACACACATGCTAATGGCCCTCTCCCAAGGAAGGCCTCGGAAAGTGAGAGGGAGGGGTTTGATGCTTCCACATTATCCTTTCTCTGAATTCTTCAGCCAGTGCTATCACTGGCTCATAGGAGGAGCAGCAGCTGCCCTTCATCACTGCTCTTTCTGCCCCCCCCCCCACCACAATACAACAGTAGTACAACATGCATGAACTTCATTTGAAGTGCTTCTGTGGTTTCTGCTTGTTTTAACAGAAATACTTGTCTGTTTTCCTAACATCTCTTGTTCAAATTATATTTGATTTTTCTTTTCTATATGAGAGTAGCAAGAACATTTTCCACCATATTTATTAATTTTCTGTACAGAATTGTGCAAAGAGTTGCTGAACCCCACCAAGATCCACCATACCACACAGCAGCAAGGGGTCAGTTGAGGTTATTTTTTCTTTTTTCTTTTTTTTTAGAACAGACTAAGGATGCAGGCACAAGCATGTGCTCACTTCGCTCACTCTCAAAGTCCAGAATTGACTTAGTTGAAGAACAGCAAGTTGACCTTGATAAAGACCAGTTGTTCAACCCTCCAGGGGAGCAAATGTGAACAGCGCAAGCTGGCAGTGTTGTCCATGTGAGAAAAAACATGTTCATTCTGCATGCCCATTGGAGGGCACAAGATGAGCCTTTGAGCCATAAAAGAGAAGGCTGGCCAGACTGTCTCTTCCCTGGCCCAGTAGTTCAGCAGATTAGTGGCATACAACTCATAGGGCACAGATAAATAGTCCCTCACCATTGCATTTACTGAAGCCTGGCTCATGTGCCTCACCTTTCCACTGCCTCCTTGATTGCCTTGATCACCATGGCCATCCCGGGAGTGGCAGTGGGGGCTGAGAAAGGGTGGCAGGAGGAGAGCAGCAAAGCGGCTTTACCCCTCCTCCCCCTCCTCCTCCTCCTCTCCTTGAGGCAACGTGCTCCTCTTAGCCTGCAGACACCACACCCACCGAGAAAGTTCGTCCTTCCAGTGAATTAGCTGGTCGGCACAGTTGGCAAGCTAATGGGTCACACATGGTCACCAGCATGTAGACCTTCTGCTTGGTGAGAGGTTGCAGTCTCAGTGCACCAGTGTATACACTAGGAAGAATGTCTGTGTGTCTGGTCCAGAAAGGTGGTCATCTTCCCCAGAAGCATTCAGATCAAGGGAATGATGTGATCCAGAACTGCCTTGTCAAACAGCAGAACATTAGTGCACACCATAAAGGTCTTAACATCTCCACTGCTGAGGAGGGAGTAAGCTACTCCTTACTGCTGAGTGGTCTCTCCCCTGCACAATGGATGCCTCCAAAGCCTCTTTGTCCAGAGTGCTCTTCTGCTCCACCAGACACTCAGTCATGATGCAGGTGGAGTTCCAGAGTGTTCTGGCATGCCTTTTAGCACCTGCTTCTGGTGCTGCATGAGAACTGACTTGTGATATTCTAGCAGGTCTGGATCAGACCGTGGAACTCACAGGTCACAGCATCCAATCTGGGATTCTGTGCAGAATTCCAATGCAGGACATCCTTCTTCACCAGGTGCAGGATGTGGGCCACTCTGTGAATGCACTCCAGGCTCACAGTCTCTGGTGCTGCCCTAATATTTGCACCACCATCAGTCACCAAGTAGCCCATGGAGACATTCCTGCCTACCCATACCACTAACTTCTTCTAAATGGTGGCAGAGATATTGGCTGCCTTGTGTACCTCATCTAGTACCTCATCATGGAACAAAGCCTGGCAACAACTGGCTGGACAGACCCTCTTACCCAATCTAGCACTGGGTGCCCCACTCCTACCCAGAATGTCCTTGGGTTGCCAAAAATGTGCAGTCAACACGATGTACATGGGCTGCCACTGAGGGCAGGTACAAATGTCTGATGTGAGGTGCATGGCTCTCCCACAGGCATGTGACAACTGTGCCTTCACATGGTTCCTAGCAGCCCTGAACACTATGGTCCTGCGCCATGTAAGCAGAGATCGTGTGCCAGGGTGAAGCATCTTGGAGCAGCTTACAAAACCCAGCTTACTCAACAATAGAAAACAGCTGCCTGTCTAGAGCGATCATCTTATGAATGAGGCAAGTAACTGTCTGCCCTGCCTGCTTCTGCCCACCCCTTGGTATCCTAGTGTCAGCTGCACCAAAATTTCCATCAGAGATTCTTGGCATCCCTTCCCTACAGGTGACTTGGAAGGCAGAATAACAAAGTGGGTTGTGGAGCAACTCCCCTTTTGGCTGTCTATCAGCCTCTCTCTTTCCCACAAAGCAACAATAAGGTGGTTCTTCAAATGGTTCCTGAGCCCAGTCATTGAGACATGACCCAGATCTTTCCTTTGACTGAAACAGGGATCTTCCTTCCTCTGGAAATTCATACCATGGAGGAACAGAAGCACCTATGCTGACTAGCAGCTGTGGGCACCCCTGGAGCCAACCTCCTATTAGGGGCATACCTAATCCCTCGCCTACGGTTGTTGTTAAAACCTAACCAGAAAATTTCTTGAGAACTTGCTGCAAAAAATAATTTAAAAAACCAACAACACAGGAATACCTCCAAACTCCATGAAACCACTCCCCCAAAAACACACCACAGAAAGATCTTTAAAACATCTATAGATGAACCATCATAAAACCAGAACCAGAAATCTAAAAGAAGAGAATCCAACAAAATAGCACAGCCTTTTTATAACCATATTAAAAGAGTACAAAACAAAACCCAAGAAAGGTATTTTTAACAAGAACCAGAAAGAAAGCAAAAGTTCCCCCACACACACACACTACAAGCCACCAGAGGCAAAAACGAACAACCCCCCCCCAAAAAAAACCTTGAAATAATGTTTTAAATAATATTTTAAAACAAAGACCACTGCGGGTGAACTAGTCTCAAAGATATTCTTACACAGAATAAGATCTTCCCAGGGAAGCGGCATAAATAATCCAAAGCACAAACAGACCAGAGCAGTAGAAGCACACAGCACTCCAAAAAATCTCACCCTGAAATGGAGTCAAACTGCATCAAGGCCTGCTTTTTATCCTCTTTGCCCATGTTCAGAGAGCCATGGAGGGCTGTAAGAGAATCATCATGACTCAGTGGCCAGCGATTCCAACCCCCCCCCCCCCCCAATGTCTGATCCAGTTGCCTGGGAGATCTGTCTCCCATTGCTCAGGAAACTGGTTAAATGGAAGAAAAACAGGCCTGGGAGTCTTAAATGCCAGTTCTGGATATTTCTCAAAATATTCAGGAGGACCCAATGACCAGTATTCTAAGCATCTCAAATATTGCTCCAAATACCCAGATATATACAAGGTGTTTTTTTGTAAGGTGTTTTTTTAAATATATGCTTGACCCGGAAATATCTGAATGCACGTTCCTACTCCCAACATTGAAGAGAATGGAGGCATCCCTTCTTTTAGTAATTCATCCTCCAAAGTACATACCTGAACCACTGAATGGGAATGAGGGCATTGATTACAGTGATTTTTTTTTACAAATAGTTCTATAACGGTTTGTGCCTTGGGATGGGAATGGAAGCACCAGAATGGCAATTCAGATTACAAAAGTAGATTCAGCAATATTTTCCCTGCTGTCGCAAATACTTTATCCTGTTCTATGACAGCAGCGAAGAAACATAGCAAACACTGTGTGTGCGTGTATATTGTAATCACTAAAGCTATTTAGCATGGCTAACATTTTTATAACCTTCTGGTTAGAAGCAAAGCTGTTAACAATCTGACAAAATTATTGAATGGATTTGTGTGAAGGAGAATACCATCTGAAAAGGGAAATGTGTAAAGGGATGAAAGAGAAAACATCAAAAGTCAGAGGAAGGTGGTAAGGAGGTATTAAGATGTCGGGTTGTTAAAAGGAAAAGGAGAGTTTATGTTCTCTTGATGGGGTAAGATGGCATGAAAGATGATATCATCTCTGCTGGATATAACACTGCAGTATTACTTCAGTCCTATAGCGGAGAAGTAACGTTGGTTGCATACTTAATGATGCTGTTGAAAATCACCCTGAAAGTCATGTGTGAGCAATTCTGCAGTAGCTTGACATTATCTTTACAATATGGATTTTTGTCATCGGCCATATAGCTTGATCTTTATGGGAGTCAGTAATTTACCGCATGTCTAATCTGAGCTCTTGCCCGTCATTAATTTGATTAAGCAAACTAGCAGCTCTTGTCATTTCCTAGAATTCAAAGTGAAACGTTGTTCAACAGCTAAATATTTTAGCATTAAGAATCTTATGTTTAGTACATATGTAGTGGCAAATTATAAAATAATTAATTCATCCTTTTGTGTGTGACAAGAAGACCTTTCTAAAAGAACAGGAAGCCAGTTATAAAAGTCAGGAAGAGAATGTATTTCTACATTAGACTCTCAACTCTGTTGTGCTTAGGGCTATGATAGTTAATACATACCAATAAAAGTCAGTAGTACATCTGCTTATAACACACTTTTCTGAAACACTGAATTAGTTAATAAATCCTGAGAAACCGGTTAGTGTCAGTATTAAATACTAGACTTAGTTAAGAGCCAGCAGCAAAGCTCTGATCATAAGATCCAAGTTGGAGTGGAGCTAAATGAATGCACTTCTTACGTGTCACAATAGTGTTTTAGGAAGTGATATCTGAATTGATCAACTGGTGTGAAGTTGGTTTCTCACTAAGATGCTTCTGTGTTTGCTTTCTAGCAACTGCCACCTCCACTACCAAGCAAAACACCACCACCACCTCCTCCAAAGACTACTCGGAAGCAAACTTCTGTGGACTCTGGGATTGTCCAGTGACTCGAGAAAGGATACCTCCAAAGACTAAGCTATAAAGTTTATTTTTTCCAAAAGATTTTTAAAGATGTACACTGTGTTTACACTGTTCAACACCTGCAGCATCTAACATTTAGTGCAATAGTTCACACTTTCAGAGTGATATCATTTCCAAGTAAGGTTGCAGGATTATGGACATCTCCACTCCCCTCCCCCCAGCTTTCCATATGGCAACATATTATTTACCTTTTTTAAAATTTTTAAATGGTTCCATGACTTCTAGAATCTTGGACTATTTACAGTAAAGGAGTAGCATCACACAGGATCAAAGAATAGGTCACTCCTCCACTGCATTGACACAAATAAGCCTTATGAAATAAATTGACCGAATGCCAGGAGTTCGATTTTAGTATCATGATTTTGTAATCTTTGGTGTTGAGGAATTAGTAAAATAAAAACATTTGTGAATACATCTATAATTGTGCTGGGCTGCCATTAATGCTGGCCTTTCATTGGCTGATTGCTCTTTAAAGTTGAATTATAACTGAATGTGATCCAGCCAACAACAGCTGCACATGGTTTGGCTTGTATTTTAGCATATTTTAGGCTCCTGAGCAGGCATTAATTTATGAGGAATGCAAATACAGAAGTACTGATAATCTTAAAGTAAAAAAATAGGAATGGGGAAACATAACATTTTACATGGGGTTGATTACAGTTGTGTCATTCTGTACAGACATTTTGTATATATGATAGGTCTTAACAGTGTGTTTAATTTCATTATGCCTGCTTTTTAATAATGGTGCGATGTAACACAAATGTGTTACAACCTTTTAAACTTTGGTAACTGCTGAAAATGTATAAATGGCTAACTTTTATGCTATTTCCACTAATAGAATTCTGAAAATATTGGATAATTATGAGGAAAACCAGAAAACTAATTTTTTAAAAAAACAAAACATTGTCACTGTACTTGTTTTTTTACCATCAACAAACTTTGTAACTTTAACAATAGATTGAATATTTCACTGACTCCAGAAATAAAGAGTTATTTTAAAATACTCCTGTCTCTAATAAAATGAAGTTGGTTCTTCATTGCCTCCACAGTCGGAATGAAGAGATGGACATCACTATGGATTTAACAAGGGGCACTTTATTAATTATTTATAATCAAACAACTGGCAAGGGGCTGCTAAAATGTACTGAGGAATATGACTGGTGTCAAACTCCTGACCACCTTCATTTCCTTCTGGGCGATGCACCTTCCCCGATCTCGAGCCACCCAATATAGCTCTCAACCAGCGGCTTGGCATACTTAGGAGAACCCCCTAGCCCACCACCCCAGAAGCCACATGGCCTACTAAGATAGGCCGGGCCAGATTGTTCTAAAATCACCCCTTCCCGGCTTTGAGCCACTAAGGTCCGAAAGCCGTTCTTGGAGGACCCTTTAATTCCTTTATAACAATGCCCAGGTGCTCACCATTTTCAACTTCCTGATCGTGCTACCCTGCCTACCACAAAGTGACCATCCTATTTAACAAACAGCGGCCCCTCATAGCCAGTTTCCCAACACCTCCATCATCAGTGCAAGGTAGGCAAAAAACACCCCTCCTTCTGAAGCCAAATTGAAAAAGGGGTGAAAAATTCCTACCTGGCCCCATTAAAAGGCAACCAGTTGAAACCTGCACTAAGAACTGCTGGGTCAGAGGTTGGGAGCCAAGCCTAAATAAGCTGGCTCCACCCCCTGCCTGGTGCCGCACTTCTCATGGTGCTGTTGCCCTTCTCTTCATGCCTCACGAGGAGGCAAATCAGCCCCCTCCCGCCAGCGTGGGCTTGACGGGAGTTGGGGCTCGCATAATAAAAAAATGTAACCAAGTAGATACGACGATTATGCAGACAGATTGGGCAATCCCCCTAAATACTAATATCTAAATTTTCAATCCACTCAATTGCAGCTGGGGAGTGTGTAACCAGCCTGCTGGGCTCTGAACCGGGGCTGGTCTTTCCTGAGAGAGAGAGACACCCCAAAACCACCTCTGAACCTCTACAAGCAGTGCACTCATAAAGCCAGGCTTGGCTTAAACAGTGGCTTTTGCTGGGAGGCTAGGAGAACCACATCCTGCAAGTTACAGCGGGGCAGGGTGGGGGAGGGGCCCGGCTGAGCTCTCGTCCTCCTCGGCAGCCTTTCTGTGCGCGCCTCCGCTGTACTGGCCTCCCCCCTTCCCCAGGCGGCTTTTCTCACCGGGCGCCGGTCATGCTTTTCGCGCCACGAGTTGCTCGCTCCCCCGCTTTTCTTGACGGGGTTAGTCTGCCTCACTGTGTGCACCCAGTCCCGTGGCTGGCAGGCTGGCCGGCAAAGGGTTGCACTGGGTGGGGTGGGGCCGCATCGACTGAACTTCAGGCACCCCCTAGCAGTCTCCCTGGGGAAGCGGCGTCGCTGGGGGGTATGGGGGCGGGCAGCCAGGCCACACCCCAGGCAGGCGAGGGCGAGGGCGGGCTGTCCTCCGGCGGATGTGGCAGAAAGGCCAGAGACGGAGGGCACAGCAGCCCGTGCGCCTGTAAGCCGGTAAGCCAACTGTCGGCCCAGCGGCGGGGACGGTGCCCGAGGGATGATCGATGTCATTTCAGAAACATAACAGAAAGATCTCTTTCCTGGTTGTAGGGATTGAGCTAGGACGTCGCCACTAGTCAGGCAGGCAGTCTGGAGGGAAGGTGGCAGGGGGTCTAGCCCGATCGCCTCAGACCTCGGAAGCTAAGCCGGGTCGGAATACTGGGGAAGGGAGACCAGCAAGGCAGGCGGTGCGCCAAGCGATTCCATGGCAAACCACCTCTGCTTCTCCCTGCCGCCTCCCAAGGCCACGCCCCGGGATGATGCCCGCTTCCCCTCCGCCCGGCTTCTTCTGTATGGCGGGGCGCCAGTCGGCCCTCCGCCACGGGACACAAGTTCCCGACCTCCGTCGCTCTGCCGGGACCTGCCCCAGCCCCAGGGGGATTCTCATCCCTCTGTGCTCGCTTCAGCACCAGGCGCCGCACCCGCCACAGGGGGCTTCTGCTGAGGGACTTCCCCTCCTCCCAACCTGCCCCCAGCTGCCAGGTTCCGGCTGTCTTCAGGCCGTCCTGGGAGGTTGGCATCTGCGCTCGCCTAGAGCACAGGACAACCTCGGGCCGGCCCTGCCTGCACTGAAATAGGGCAGGAAGGTGGACTGAGCATGACGAAGGACTGCAAAGGCAGAGGGCGGGAGCTGAGCCTGAATAGGGCTGGCACCGTTCTTCCTCCTCACGAAGTGGCAAATCAGCCCACTCCCGCCAGCGCAAACTCGGTGGGAGTTGGGGCTCGTATTACTATAAAATGTTTTAAATTAATTATAAGGTGGTTTGGGCTTCATCTGTCACATATCTTGATATATAATTGAAAAGACAGTGGTTCATTTTAAACATAATGTAAGACCCTGGTTTATTTGACTTTGTGAAACCAAGAACTGGTTCACACATAAATATTGGATTCATTGCCTTCATTCTTTCCTCAGAGAGACCTGGGTGGTATCCTACACTGCAGTGAGGGCTGTGCCCAGGGGTCATTTAATAGAAAAAGAGGTGCAGGAGCTCATTATTTGCATATGCCACACACCCCTGACATCACCGGAAGTGTGTCAGAAGGCAACACCCACCGCTCAGGCTCCACTGGACTGTTTTGGATTGCTAGCTATTGGGGGGGGCATGCAGACCTGTCCTCGCAGAGGAGGGAGAGCTTGTACCTGGAGCATGGCATCCAGTGTCACACAACACCTGACTTTGCAACTAGGAAGTAAACCCTTCCTCTCAGGCTTGAGTAGACAGTGTCCAGATTAAATCCTTGCATAGCCAGAGAAAATGTCTCAGATAGAAAGGTATAGAGAGCAACTGCCAGGCAAAGTATAGAGTATTGAGTTAGATGGAAAAAGAGTTGGTTTTATACCCTGTTCTTCGCTACGTGAAGAAGTCTTGGAACGGCTTACAATCACCTTCCCTTCTTCTCCCCACAGCCCCAAAGTCTAAATAGAGTATCAGTTTCCACAGGCAGCACACTTCCGAGTACCCAGTGCTGGAGATGGTAACCGGGGAAGCCCTCCACAATTGTGCCTTCTGTTTCATCTTTTCAGAGGTTCTAGCAAGCTACCTTTGGAAACAGAATATTATATATGTGATAAATTTCAGCAAATCAAATCTTAGGGTTTTTGTTTTTTTTAAGAAAACAGTTTTATAGTTCTCTCCCAGCAACCTAGAATTCTGTGATGACCAACACATTCTCTGTTATTCTGTAGTTCAACTATGTCTCCCACACCCCCAATATTCATTGTGCTGAACTGCGGTATAATCTAAATTAGAAAACAAATCATTTTTCACTTCTTACCAGATACTACCAGGATATAAATTATCCTGCATACAGAAGATACACAAAGAGACACCAAACTGAATGAGGGTCTTTTAATATCATCAACTTTCAGCATTAGTATACCACATTTTATCTGCAAGGTCCAGTTGCCCTGACATTTCAATTTCCTTTCATTCCAATTTTATATATATATTTTGTGGGTTGAAACTAAATTTTGGGCTTACAATTGCCATTTCTCTGGTGATACGGGGGGAGTAGAGCTTTGGGAATAAATAGCCTTTCATAAATGGAAGCTACAATAATAGAGTAGCTATTCTACTTGCGATAGCATTGATGGTGGGTTTTAACTTTTTCCTAGTGTTGCAAAAAGCTCACAGGAATGAAAACCTCAACAGGTACACTCAAATAATTGCTTTAAATGAGATTTGCCCACTAACAGAAAAATTCATTTTTTTTCTGAAGCAACTTTTCTTAATAGTTCCGAAATAAAATATATCCTTATTCTAATATGCATTTCCTACTGTGCTCAGCACATGAAATATGCTGATGGTGTGGGCTTTAGACTGATATGCCAGAGTCTGTGGCTTGGACTAGCCCTTATATACCTGTGGTGGCTCACATAATTGTATTTCTGTTAAGGGTCATATTAAGAATGGCTCACAGCGTCATCAAAAGTTGATATTTGGCACAAATGCATGGTATTTTATTTGTGCGAGTGTACTGCATACTATGGCTTCAGAAACAAAGATGACATTTACATGTACCCAGATGTACACATAAACACATGAAGCTGCCTTATACTGAATGAGACCATTGATCCATTTAGGTCAGTATTGTCCACTCAGACTGGCAGCAGCTCTCCATGCTCTCCAGCAGTGGTCTTTCACATCACTTAATACCTGGTCCTTTCAACTGGAGATTCCAGGGCTTCCACCTTGGACCTTCGGTGTTAGCAGTCAGACCCCTCCCGCAGATGGGCAGTTTGAGACAAAACGCCCCTCTTTAAATATCAACCCCAAATCATATATGCCCTGCACTGCCTGGCCTAGAAATAAACAAAATGGAGCTGGTACAAACAAACTGGACACTGGCCAGAGGCAAGCCTGGGAAAAATATTTTGGAAAGTGAACCAGAATAGCTGACTCACTAACGACTCTCCTCCCCACCTTAAAAAGAGATACTTCATCTAAACAATGGGTTTCCTCTGAAAACCTCCCCTCACCTTGACTTAATGCCCATCCACACCCAGTCACACCTTCCATCATGCATTCACACCCATTACTGCTATTCATCCAACCCAGTATTCAAAGATCATCAAGGAACAGTAACACTTTTAATTTACATGGAGCAATCTCATCAAGCACCATTAGGGCCCCTCAGGCAAAACTATCACAAGTTTCCCAAATCCAATCAAGTTATTATTTTAGGGGCGAACACATCAGACCGCTCCTGGGAGAACTTTTCTTATAACTGG